TACGTAAAATGGGACTACCATGAAAGATGAATTTGGTTTCGTTCAGGAAGTATTGATGATGAATGCTATTATGCAATGAAACATCGGCTCCTTTGTTGACGGATTTGAAGAGTAGTCATTAGTTCAGAATCAGTGACATGTACTGTATGAGATGGACCTGAACTAAGCAACGGTCCCCTCAATGCAAATACTTAAAACATTTTTTGCACCTTAGACAATATTGATTTTAGAGACAAGTGCAGCGATTCTTAGTGATACTTAATTTCCCTAGATAGTATTTCCAGTGGATTATAATTATTTCTTAAAACTAGGTTGTTGAACTTCATTTATGCTATTTATACGAAAACCCAAACCAAGGAATTTCCTCCCCTCGGCCCACCTGCTAAGTCCACGACCGGCGTGCCCTTTAAAAACATCTCTTCTTATCCTACGCTTCTCTCTCTCAAAAGTGGGGACCTGGAGGGAGGGTGGGCTGGGAAGCGTTATGTCGTGGGGCTTTTCCTTTCCATCACCTTTTCCTTACCCCTTCCGGGTCTCGAGGGCCTCTGGCCATCCTCCGTGGAGTGGCAGGAAGCACGGCCTCCCACTGCTGCACCGTCCGGTGGGGGTGCTGTTGCTCCCCGCGTCTGCTCAGGCTTCTGCTCTGAGGCCGGGCGCTGAGCGGAGCCGTGGAAGGCCGGGGCGGCCTCCGGCACCAGAGCAAGCTCAGCAGCTCTCGGGGCGACTTGGGCCTTTTCCTTTGCGCATGCTCAAAGCGGTGCTCTCTGCTCGCTCGCTGCCTGCCCGGCCGCCTTCCACACAGGAAAACGCCCCGCAGCTCTTTCGAAGCGCTGCTGGCTTGTGAGCCGGGCCTGTGGGGGCTCTGGGAGCGCCTGCAGAGAAATCCTGGGGCGCAGCCATCCGTGCGGGTCACCGATCGTGCCTGCGGCGGGGGCGGAGCTATTTCTGCAGGGGCCGCTTCTCCTCCGCTCCTGTTCTTACCAGACCCTAAATTTACTTTCGACTACTTTCCTATTTCATTTCAGCCCCTGTAACAAACTCTTCCATAACCATCAATTTTATTTTTTTTCAAGGGAGAATGATAAAGAGACATGCTACACAATGATCAAAGTGCGATTTAATTTCTTTTTGAGGTAAAACTAGGTTACTTATATGTCTAGGATAAATTGTCTGAAATATACTTTCTGTTGATCCCTTACGCTAATGAATGCACTTTTAAAAAACCAAATGTTGTTTTACCAACAGGTTTATAAAAGGCTTATCATTCTTACCACTTTTCTTTACAATCTGTAAGTTAAATATAAGAATTCCTTATTCGGTTCTTTAAAACTTTGTTAAATTAACAGCTAAATACTAAATCTTATATCCATGCTCTTCTCCCGTGTTTGAATATTTAAATATTGTAAAGCTCGTGTCCCTTTATTTACCTCCGAGTCTCGCCCTGATGGAAACGTCTGGTATTGCTCTGGAATTCCACCTCCTGTCTCGCTTTAGTTCTTCTGGTACATCGTTTTGCCTTTTTAGCGTCCTTGGCAATCCTGCGTCTGGCCTAGGAACTCGATGTTGAGGTTTCACGTCACTAAAATCCACCAGGCTTGGTATGGTCCTGCCAACGCCAGGTTTTAAATCAGCATCGCCACCGGGGCTCAAAAACCCTGAGCAGGGGTCAGCCAAGGGCACATCATCACGAAGTGGGAATAACGGGTAAAGTGGCCCAGAAGGCGGGGGATAAGGGTAGTGTAAATGATAGTCTGGCACAGTGGAAGGTGGATAAGGGTGAAATTTAAGAAAAGTAGAGTTGCATTTCTTCTCAATTCTACCATAGTCATGTCTGTCCTCAATTCCTTTCACAAAAGGCATGTTCATTTTTCTTAAGAGATCACAGTAGTGTGGGTATTCCATATTCCGGATGGCCTTTGTTCCTGAAATAGACCGCTCCGAGATCCTTATCTTTCCCGGTGTGGACTCTGAATCCATATCTATGGCCTTTAGCACTTTGGATGACTGTAAATCGAGTGCTTCCGATGACTCCCTCAACTACGAAAAGCTTATAAATTTGCAATAGTTGAGAATCGGTTAATTTAACATGTCGATTTGGCTTCCTTAAAGTCGACAGAGTAGTTTTTCCCTTCTTCTTTGTAAGATGTCTCTTTTCTCCACCAAAGGGAGCCAATGGCCGTTACAGACTGGGGCACAAAAGCACGAAACAGAATAGAGCCCTTGTTGCTTAGCAACAGCTCGAACCCTAACACATTGGATCGCTCATTTCTTCCTACTGACGTTGTTAGCCATTCTGTCTTCAGTTGCTGAAAACTTCATTCTTCGATGTCTTTGCAGCACCAGAATAAGATCTATTTCTACCTCAGCAAAGCCTCCGGCTGCAGAAAAGCAGACGCGATTCCCTTGGACACGTTTGCCTATATAAACGCTAGGTGGTTTTACATAGTCTTCTAAGTTTTGGCGATAAAAGATGATCCTCCAGGAAGAGCGACTGCATGAAAATCAGTTTTTCCGAGGGCTGTCTCCTCCTCTTCTCGGGGCTGAAGACCTTTTTCGAACCCCGCTTGGCGGGCGCTGCACTGATCTCCGGCGCAGGCTGCCCCGGGAGATG